ATAAATACCACATTTTGTTTATCCATTCAACTGTCATGGATTTGGGTTGTTTCCACCTTTTGTCTATCATGAATAATGCTGCTATTGACATTGGTACTGATTTCTTTTAAAGAGCTTAATAGAAAGAGTCCTGTCATCTGCTTTTTTTTTTTTTTTTTTTGGCTACCCCTAACTACAGGAGAGTTTAGGGTAAGCAATCTTTTACCTGAACACACTTGCTATCCCAAATAATATAATACACAAATAAAAAAGAGAGAGAGAGTACATTCAGTAGGCAACCAGCAGACCATGCCACTCTGCTAAATAGTATGAGTCTCATCAAAATATCTATTGCTTCCTAAGAAATTCCCAGTGTGCTCCCATGCCTGAACTTTCCTCCAAGACAACTTGTGGGCAAAAGGACTGTATCTCCAGAAAGCCCTTTCCCTTAAAAGACTGGCATGTTCATGCCTGAATAAATAATTCTGCTGTATGTTTTAGGAGCATTTTCACATATCTGTTCTCTCATCTGAAGACCTACACTGGCAATGCCCTGTTTAACATCCCCTCTTGGAAATCCACTGGCATTTTTACTCAACACATCAGAAAGGGTAATTTTCCTCCTCGTGCTCCTCACCTCCCAACCAGCTCTTTTCTCTGACTTCCTTATTTCAAGTCAAGTAGGTTTTCTTTCTATAACCGTAAAGGGTCTTTAATATATGATAGTATATGTTGTAGAGCTCCAAAAGAGAGATTTAGACTAGAACACTTTCAAATGTATTTGTCCAAGGAATCCTTTTTCCCATTTTTGAATCAACTCTTGGGACAGGTGTGCTAAGCAACATATTATGAGGAAACAGCCCACAAGCCTGGAAAGGCAAAATCATCGTCAAGTTCTTCTCATCTTTAGTGATTTCTAAGTCACCTCAGTTCCGCCACCACAAAGTCTCTCTTGCCTCTTCATTCCCTTCCATGTCGACAGCCACCATTCCGTCTTTCTTGGTATGACTTCTGCCCCTGAGATAGAGTGCTTGCTTCAACTATCCATTCCACAAGCCATACACGAGCGACTGTGTTGGGCATGAGGGCTGCAGTGATGAACAGAGCAGTGGTCCCTGTCCTTGTGCTCCACACCGACTGCAGTCCAATGGGCATGGAGAGAAAGACATAGAGTCACCCCACGGTAAGTGTAAAATGACAAGTGTGATCACTGCTGCAGAGGAGACGAGCATGGTGCTATGTGGCTCTCTGGGACAGTCCCTCGGGAGTGATGTTTGAGCTGAGAACTGAGGGATGCCTAGAAACTAATCAAGCAGATGGGAGGGAAGAGTTCACCAGGCAGAGGGGAACCTCCTCCAAAGCAGAGTTGTGGCGGAGACAGCCTGGTAAGGAAGGCTGAAAGATGGCCAGAAGCTGCAGGACACAGAAGAAGACTCAGGTGGAGATAAGAGAAAGGGGGTGAAAGAGTGAGAGGGGTCTTGAAAGCCTTGGTAAGAATTTTAATCTTTAGCTTCTATGCCAGGGAATGATTTCCATTTCCATTTTGAAAAGGTGGCTTTGTCCACTATATGGAGGACATGGAACTGTAGACAGACAAGGACAGATGCACAGAGACCACATGTAGGTCATTGCAAGCCTCCAGGTCAGTGGAGGTCGCTGACGACAGTGGCTTGGGCCAGAGAGGGTGATGGCTATGGAGAAACATGGACATATCCTAGTGGCATCTAAGAGATAAAACCAACAGGACATTGGATCAGATTGGATTTAGTTATCTGTGGACAGATTTCATTGTCACTAAGATATTTTAAATTCCTAGAGACAAAAATCTGTATCTTGCTTCTTTCTGGTTTCTCATACTGAATTGCAAACTTCATATTTAGTAGGAGAAGCCTACTGAGTGTGTTGAAGTGATTTACATTGAATATTCATACAGAGAGCAAAGGAAATCTAGCCCAACTAGGTAAATTTTGGTTTAAAAAAGAGAAGAGGCACATCCCACCCTGCAAGACAGTCCCTGAGGAGGGCCAGCTGAGATGGGTACCACCGAGGAGCATGTCTGGGCCTACCATAGGGACACAAAATGTGATGTCACCTCCCGCTGCTCTACCTGATGGCACAGACATGGAACCACTCTGTGTCAGGAATGTGATAATGATCATGGTCCTAATGCATTAGGGAGACAGATGAAGCCCTGCTGAAGCACACAGCTGCAACTATAGGAGACTCGAAGGCCTTTCTTCAAATTAACATTTTGCAACAAAGAGCAACTGCGGGTCATGTCCATTCCTGTGGCAATTATTGCTCTTAGATGTTGGTTGTGCCTAAAAATTGGAAAAAATAAATAAACGAACCCACAAACAGTAGTCTAAACAGCCTTTGAGTTAATTGCTGTAGTTCAGCACTCAGTGTGGACACTGAATAATGGTCAGCATAATCCACCTCTCTTGTGAAGACTGGAAGCAAAGAAACATTTTCTCCCAGCCACAAACAGTTGATCTGTCATCTGTGTGAGCGATGCTGAAGAAAGTTCTATGCTCGGGGTTCAATCCTTGCCATTTTCTTCTGTGCTGAAGTGATTCCATGCCAGAAACAAAGGCCTCCTTGTCCTCACTTGTCTCCTTTTTTTCTCTAAGAAACATTAGTGTTCTCCCCAAATCTTGGTCACTGACCCCATACCATCATTACAGCCCAATCTGAAAATTGTCTAGACTTTAATGGCTTGCACCCAAGTGACACACTTAGAAATAGAAAAAGATTGTCTTTGAAACACCACAATGCTGTCAAAGGCTGTGTTGCTTCATAAGTGATTAGACAGTCCAGGGACAGGGATGGTGTGGGGGAATTGTGAAATCGTACCCGGTCATGGCATAAGGGGAGGAAAAGGCAGTGCCTGAGGGGAATTGCTGCTGCTAAGTCAGGACATTTTTCTTTTCCTTTGCTCTGCATTTTCATTAGTTGCTGTCTGGATCTGAAAAGGTCATAGGCCTAATTATACCTATGGACACTACATAATAGCAGCATTGACATGGTTCCCAATGACCCATCAGGGAGCCCCTCCTCACCAGCCTGGAAGTTCCCAAACCAATTAAGTCAAAAAATCCATGAAATGTGGATGATATTAAGAAACTATTGTTGGAATTTTTTAGGCGTGATAATGATATTGTGGGCATGTTGAAAAAGAAAAAGAAAGAGTCATAGTTCTTGGAGAGACACACTAAAGTATCTACAGATTAAATAATATGATGTCTGGGTGTGCATCGAGATAATCCTGTTAGGGGTGGGGAGAGGGGTTGAGAGTAAAGGAAGCTCTGTCTGCTCATGTGAATCACTGCTGACACTGGAGTATGGGGAGATGGAGTCAGTATACTATGCTCTACTTGTGTATGTGTTTGAATTAAAAGGTTTTAAGATATCCTAGGCATTTTCTTCTTTTTTTTCAGAGACCCCTAAGAAAGCCAGGCTTTGACACCCAGAAATCCCCTTTCTTGAGGCCAGGAAATCAATATAAATGTGTTGGTGTTACTCCATGATCTTTGTGTTTCTCAGCCGTTAAATGTTGAACTCTTTGCCCTCAAAGGAGGGAGGGGAAGCTAGAAATGAGGTGGAGACCTTCTCACTCCATAAAAATATGAGTCACATTAACATTTTTTTCCTCACTTCTAATCGTACGTGCCCCATGGCCTGCCAGATGTCAGCCAACTGATTCGTTTCAGGGGAATTTCTGAAATTCTACTACTGTCCTCATCAGAAACAAGGGGCTGTGAGTAGTACACTCTAAACAGGAACAAAGCCGTTATCTGGTTTCAAATTCCATGTTCAAAATAGCTTCCCCTCAGAAGCTACATCCACAATCCCCCTAGAAAACGTCCCCTGTTTGGAGTTTAAGGATTTATTGGCCCAGAAATCCAGCTCTTGAAGTTCGTCTTAGATGGCTCACTTCTGAACCCACTTCGTCTCCTTTCTCAGCAAGAGACTGATCGGTCTTCTGGAATTTTCCTCCCACCCTTCTGGCTTCTCCTTCTCCTGCAGAGCAACGCAGGACAACTCCCTTCAGAGCTCCTGCTACCTCCGCTATTCCGACAGGACACACTGCCTCTGTCTGCTCATGCACGCTCTTCACCCAAATCAAGCAAGAGCAAAAAATTGGTGCATCCTGTGTAACCAAAGCTCTCCTATGTCCTGGAAGAAGGAAAGGAGGAGAGTGGGAGGGAGAAATATAGAAAGAGATGAAGGAGGTGAGAAGCGAAAGAACAGGAGGAGGGAAAGGAGGGAGGAAGAGGAGGAAGAGAAAAAGAAAGCAAAAATGATTTCGTAACAACCATCTTCCTTGTCTGCCAGACAGATTATTTTTTCCCAGAAAATATCTTCCTCAGATTGACCAATACAGAAACTTCAAGAGAGAAAGAACTAAGCCTGATTTTTAAGATTTTTTTCTTCTTTTTTCTTTTCATGTTCAGTCACCTTAGGTTCAGAGGCTATTTCTGTAAGCTGCATCAGCTGGACCTGGACCATATGGCAGAGGCAGCACCTATGCTTGATGATTCAATTGACCCAGTGGATGACTAGATCGTTTTAAAAGCCCTTTGTATCCTCACAGGTCATTTGTCTATATCAGATGCAAAAGGAAGCACTGCAGCCACCTCAAATCGCCCTGGAATTCTCTCCCAAATGGGCCAGACTCCATGTTTTCTCAAGGAAAATTGAACATTACCTGGTAAAGTTCTTCCTAAACTATGGGTCCAGATGTCTGCTTGACAAATGTCCCTTATGCTTGTTTCAATTTAAAGAGTGTGGTTAAAAGACCTTGGCATGATTTATTTTTAGTTGGGCGTATTGGTAGAGTAGAGGGAAGGGGGCAGAAATTATATGGCAATTTAAAATATAACGGATTTTGCTTGGCACTCCTTAGTGGGAATGTGAAATCAAATACAGTGGCAAAGTCATCTGTCAAGGGCAACTTGCTCTGATGTCCAAGAGAACCTCCTTAAAAACCTATAAGTCATTGAGGTAAGAAATAAATGGCATTTTCATTCCTTCCACTCCTCATGTCTTGGGGATATAAGATACAAGGAATGAGATCTTGACTTGTAAATCATGGTGATCGGCTGTTAAATCTATGACAAGGCACCTAGGTTAGCCTACGTGTTCAGCTTAGTTCATTTCTGGTTTTCTCTCTCCCCACTCTCTCTCACCTCCCAGACTTCTCAACCCCTACAGGCTTGTTATGCACCTTCATTTATCTTGGTAAGGAAGACATAATGGAAAATTTTTAAAGCTTGAAGGAATTGCAAAGAAATGGTCATCTGAAAGATTAAACATGGTCATGCCTTCTTTTTTGAAGTTATGATAAAACTCGTGACAAATGAGGGTGGGGTGGGAGGAAGAAATTGAATTAAACCAGCAAGTTTTTCTCATACTGAAAAAAAATATGGTTTTTGTTTTTCAATTTTTTTGACTTTTTACTTTTTGGGAGAATGTGGCTCGATATTGGCATCTGCTTAAAAGATCTTTAATAATCTGATGGTACAACTAAGAAGATAAATTCCAGGCTGTTTATGTTCCTTGCACCTAAATGAAGTCAGGTTGTATAGGTTTACCTAGAGTACAAAGGAAAATAAATTTGCTTTATTTTATACAGCATCAGCACATATGTGTCCTTGAGTAGTGTTAGAGTAGTGTTTGTATGTGTATGGGTGTATATATGTGAGCACAAAGGTGTGTGAGAGTGTGTATGTGGCAGGGCACATGTGTGTATTTATATATATGTTTGTACTGTGAATGTGTATGCATATAAGTGTGTGCACATGTGAGGGTGTATGCATGTGTACATATGTGCGTATGTGTGTTAGGGGTGTCATGGGAAGGTAAGGAGAGGCGTAAGGAGTTGCGTCACTCTGACCAGAACCCTGGCCTTTTCCAATAATGTGCAGCTGGAGCCCTTCTGATCGGAGTTCAAAGCTCCCATGTAGGCCTGGACCGTGTGCCCCCAGGGACTGCCAGCGTGGGTCTCTGCTCCACTCAGTCAAGTGCAGAATCCAGAAGGGGCTATGGCTGGAAGAAGGAGTAATTATCTCTTCCTGCAGTGTCAAAGGGCATGCTGCTATTCCATCTCTCCAGGGGCATGAGAACGGTCTGGCTGACTCCATCTTTTTGCAGAAAACTTCTTTTTGCAGAAGGAAGAAAAAATGTTATTTTAGTCAAGAAACTGACACTTTGATTTGCATTGGTTCTGGCAGGAAACTGGCAGGAAAGTAAGTTTTTACAAATGAGCAGTGGATGCCGTGGCCCTTAAAACGGCCTACAGCTATCAGTCATTCACAGCCCCACATCTAAATGTGGCATCCCCAGGAGCAGAAATTTTATTTTTACATGTGATTACTCAGGTTCTCTGAGAATGGCAAGAGATTAAAGGGAGTCAAAACAGTGGGTGGAAAGAAATGGAAGTAAATTAAAATACACATGAAACCGAAGCACAAGCCGGTAAATGAATGCAGAGTCACTCTCCAAGTCCAGTCTATAGAATCAAAGTGGCCAACAGCTCCCAGGAAAACAGAGCAGCCCCCAGGCCCATCGACAGCAGATTCTTCTCTTCAAGACCAGGAAGACGCTGGCTACCAGTCGTCCTATATCTCAGGTCAAGGAGAAAAGTGTGTTCCTCTACACCCCTTTCCTCCTCTCCTTGCTCTGAATGCTGTCTATGTCATATTCACCAAGATCATAAGAGATTGACCAGCAATCCAAAATTCTAGTTCATTACTTTAGAAACGTAATGGCCAAAATGACCAGACTTCTCATGTTAACCTCATAGAGCCTTCTGTTCCCAGCAGGAAAATCAAAATAATAGCAGAAGGCCAGGCATGGGGTTCACACCTGTAATCCCAGCACTTTGGGAGATCGAGGCAGGTGGATCACGTGAGACCAGAAGTTCGAGATCTGCCTGGCCAACATGGCAAAACCCCACTCTACAAAAATTCAAAAATTAGCCAGGTTTGGTTGCATGCACCTGTAAACCCAGCTACTTGGGAGACTGAGGCATGAGAATCCTTGAACCCAGGAGGTGGAGGTTGCAGTGAGCTGAGATCATTGAGATCGTGCCACTGCACTCCAGCCTGGACAACAGAGCAAGACTCTGTCTCAAAAACAGCAACAACAACAACAGATAGCAGAAGCTTGCTTGGAGAATAAAATTGTTGCCAAGAGGGTTGTACTTGAGGAATATTTTTATCAAGATATTACAGATTGGGGAATCATCTTTCTTCTCCAAAGGAATTCATCTGCTACTTGGACCAGAATTGCTTTGTTCTTCCCTTGAGTTTACAGCCTGGAGAACTTTAGGTACACCCTAAATCATCCTGCTGAGAAAGAAGTCAGGAATTTGAGGCACACAAACAATCTTTGTAGAAAAACTTTCTCTCTCAGCACACCAAATGAGAATAGACAATTCTCAAAAGAAGATATACAAATGGCCAAAAGCCATATGAAAAGAGGCTCAACACTAATGATCAGGGAAATGCAAATGAAAGCCACAATGCGATATCACCTTACTCCTGCAAGAATGGCCATAATAAAAAAAATAAGAGATGTTTAGGGGGGATGTGGTGAAAAGAGAACACTTTTACACTGCTGGTGGGAATGTCAACTAGTACAACCACTAGGGAAAACAGTGTGGAGATTCCTTAAAGAACTAAAAGTAGAACTACCATTTGATCCAGTAATACCACGCCTGGGTATCTACCCAGAGGAAAAGAAATCATTATACGAAAAAGATACTTGCACACACATATTTATAGCAGCACAATTTGCAATTGTGAAAATTTGGAACCAGCCCAAATGCCCATCAATCAAGTGGATAGAAACATTGTGGTATATATAAACCACAGAATGCTACTCAGCCATAAAAATGAATGAAATAAGGATATTCCCAGCAACCTGGATGGCACTGGAGAACATTATTCTAAGTGAAGTAACTCAGGAATGGAAAACCAAACATCGTATGTTCTCACTCATAAGTGGGAGCTAAGCTATGATGATGCAAAGGCATAAGAATGACAAAATAGACTTTGGGGACTCAGGGGAAAGAGTGGGAGACGAGTGAGGGATAAAAGACTACAAATTGGGTACAGTACATTCTGCTCGGGTGATGATGGGTGCACCAAAATCTCAAAAATCACTTGTTCTATAACCATATACTACCTCTTCCCCCAAAACCTATGGAAATAAAAAATTTAAATTTAAAAATACACTGTGAGGCAAGAGTGTAGAGAATTATAATCATAGTCATGATTAAGAGCTTATGCTCTGGATACAAAGCCTGACTCCACCACTCACCAGCCATGTGACCTTAATCTGGTTCTGCATCCTCTCTGAGCATAAGTTTCTTTGCCTATAAAATAAAATAATAAGTTTGCTTGGAGAATGAAATGAGCTATGAAGCAATAATGCCCAGTGCCTAGTTCATAGTACATGTTCAATGCATGTGGCTATTATTATTATTATTATTATTATTTTGAGATGGAGTTACACTCTTGTTGTCCAGGCTAGAGTGCAATGGCATGATCTTGGCTCACTGCAACCTCTGCCTCCCGAGTTCAAGTGATTCTCTGCCTCAGCCTCCCAATTAGCTAGGATTACAGGCATGTGCCACCACCCCTGTCTAATTTTGTATTTTTAGTAGAGGCAGTGTTTCACCATGTTGGTCAAGCTGATCTTGAACTCCTGACCTCAGGTGATATGCCTGCCTCAGCCTCCCAAAGTGCTGGGATTACAGGTGTGAGCCACCACGCCCTACCATAATTATTATATTTATCATCAGCTGTCTTGATTTTGCCATTTTCACCTTATACATTCTCAAGCTTGTTTTGGATTTATCTATTATGCAAATAGGTAATTGTATAATTATAATTCCAAATAGATAATTGCATATTATCTTGCTTTGGATTTATCTATTATGCTTTCTACCTAGAAATATGGGTTCCACTGACCCACTATATTTTCAGAAATGTTCTTATCAAAGGTGAACAGAACTTAAATATTCCATTGGAAAGGAGAAAAAGGACTCACCTTAGGATTGCATTCCTCTTTTCTCAAAGAGGAAGCCTGTGACCACAGTGCCCACTTGGCTGGCACCAGGAGACTTGGGTGCCTCACTCTGGGGCTCAGAGACTAAAAAACCGCACCTGCGGCATGGAGACCACAAACACTGTCCTCTGAGTAGGGCCTTCATCCCACCCAGGAGCCGAGCCTTTCATCACCCAGGACCCATTAGCTCCTGAGAAGATTATATACATGACCTGTCTCCCCGATTGCCTCATCCTTAGCCACCTCTGCCAACTTATAACGGGGAAAACAAAACATTTTCTGGCTTTCTCCAAGTCCGGGGTAATTTTATGCAAAGCAGCTTTCTTTCCAAAGGACTATTCATTTGGATGTCTCTGTGCATTGTTTGGTGTCTAAGGCCCTGTAACCCATGTGCTCCTGGGATACAATTATTTTGAGTAATGGCATATTCTTCAACTACTGATGAGGACAGGCGTAGCCTCCAAAGGGGACTCAGGAGGAATGATTATGAAAATAGAAACAGAAACCAAAATATCTTTTATCACAAACAAAATAGATACACCATAACCAACAGGTAACTTACTACCACCTTTCCCTTGGTCCTAGAAAATAAAAATCTTCATACCCTTCTACCCAAAAATTCCACTTATAAATTTGACCTGTGTAAGGATATTCAGTGTAGTATTGTTTCTAATGATCAAAAAAAATCGGAATAAGTCTTTGAAACCATAATAATTACACTCCTATATTTTAGAATACCAGCTAGTGGTTTTAAAAAATGATATAGATCCTCAGGTAGAAACTTGGAAAGATCTCTAAGACATATCCAGGGAATAAAGAGCAAGTTGAAAAGCAAATATAACCCCATTATGCTAAAGTATATACACACATGCACAAAACAAAAATAAAATATACTTTTATATGCACATATGCATATATAAATGTAAATACATAGAGAAAAGAGGGGAGGCTGGGTGCAGTGGCTCATCCCTGTAATCCCAGCACTTTGGGAGGCTGAAGCAGGCAGATCACCGGAGGTCAAGAGTTTGAGACCAGCCTGGTCAACATGGTGAAACCCCATCTCTACTAAAAATACAAAAATTAGCTGGGCATGGTGGCAGGCACCTGTAATACCAGCTACTCTGGAGGCTGAGGCAGGAGAACTGTTTGAACCTGGGAGGTAGAATTGGCAGTGGGCCAAGATTGAACCATTGCACTCCAGCCTGGGCAAGCGAGCAAGACTCCATCCCAAAAAAAAAAAAAAAGAAAGGAAAGCGGGAAAGTGGGTCTGAGTCATTTGAGAGGGGAATGGGACAATGTGGCAGGAGGACTTTGAGTTTCAGTGTTATTTAAATATTTTACAACAAAAAAATTGTGGATTATTGACATATTTAAATATAATTTATTTGTAAAGAGTTACTAGGAGATTTAATGAAATAGTATAACCTAAATTAGATGAAGATAATATATCTAACTGCAGGTCATTTTACAGCAGGAGAATTCTTTTGGCATTTACCAGTCATTTCAACAACGGAAGCGACCATTTGGTTTGGCACAGAAGAAAAGCCTGAGGCAAAGACTGAAGGGAGTCAGAGGACTGTGTACTTTAACGAAATGACGTTTAACAGTCACCCCTCACTTGTTGAGAGCCACAAATCATTTACTAAATTTGAACCTACCTACCATGCAGGCAAAAATTAATTTGCCAAGCCCAGCAGTGATTCAACCAAAATCACTGCTCTCCTGCTAATAATACCTTCACTAAATAATTTTCTGGTTCTCTTAGGTTTATAAAGTGGAAGCAAAGCACTGAAGTCACACCTCACACAGCAGGGTAGCCAACATGCACTAGGGAAGACGAATGATTTACATAAGGTTTTCATAAACTCTCAACTCTTCCTTCAGTATCCTGTTGTGAAATAAAATAAAAGTATGATTGATGCTATAAACACGGAGATAACTGTTGAATTATAAAGTTTACACTGATCAGCTTATTTTTCAGCCATTCAGCTGCAAAATCCCATATTTTAAAAAATAACCCTTCTTGGTTAATAAAATGATAGAGAGATATTCTATATAAAGTTCACACTAAGGCCTGAAAAACACAAATTTAAGCTTTCCCATCGTCCCACCTTACGTTCTCCCTAAAACTGGAAGAGGGATGAAGAAGAGTCTCTTATATAGTGAGTAGCCTACTTTTGAAACTCATTTCCCCAGGGCATTGTCAAGAAAAGTTTGAATACACTCTAAGGACACAATGAGCATAATTGCTTTCATTATTGTCAAAGCATTTTCACATCTATTACGTGGTTGCTACAACAACCCTATGAAATAGGCATGCTGATAATAGTGTTCCCATTGCCCAGATGCAGAAAGTATGAGAAATGCATTTAAAAGTCCAAGATTGTGCAGCTTAAACACGACATAGTCAGGGCTAGAACCCAGGAATTGGTTGTCCCTCAATCAAAATCTCCAGAATTGTTTAAGTAAAATATCAGTTTCCTAACTGGAAAAAGGATACTTAATTCTCTAAAAATGATATGACTGGTGATTTAATCAAGTCTTACAGGAAAGACCTCCCGCCTAGGGTGGACCTTCAACGTTCCTCAGAGAAGAGCGGACCCATATTTCCCCAGCCTGAGTTCTGCTCTTGCTGGCCAGGCTTGTGCTGTAACTTCAAGTTGTATTCAAATATTTCCAGCAAGCCATTGATTGTCATTGCCTGTAATGTTTCTATCCAAATCACGCCAAGTCAAAACTTGGGCACCAGAAGCACACTGGAGAACACATGCTACCTGCTTTCTTATTTTAAGACCCATGTGCTGCCTACAGGATCTCTGGATAAAAATTTCAATACGTCTCAGAATAAGCAGCAACTTGTCTTGTTGATTGTCTTTCAAACGTTTCTACCAAGATGACAATCCGCATCCTATTAGTAATGCTTCTCCAAGTCTCCCAGCCCCTTGAAACGAGAGCTTCGTGACTCTGGAGTGGGCTATAGCTATCTAGTGACATCACCCTTGATGCTATTCAGCAGCAGCTTTTCCTTCCCTGGAGAAGTGACTGGCACAAATGACTTGGGGCTGTTATTGCAGGATCAATGACCTGAATATATGGGAGTAAAACTCCCCTCGAGAATTGGATTCAAGAGACTCGAAGCTTCCCAGGAATCTAAAAGAAATGGAATTTAGGTTTTCATGGCCCACTAGAGCCGGTTAAAAGGTCAGAAATAAAAGGTTATTGACCTGAGAGATTTTCTTGAGAGGAGGAGGGCACCAGGACTGCGGCCCCTGGGTCCCTCCAACTCAAGGATCATAAAGGAGCCCGTAGGTCACTGACTCCAGAGAAAATGAAGGCGGAGAAACAAATGGAAGAAATCTACCCACATTTTTCTTGCTTTTTACTTAAGTTGCTAGATGAAGCTCTGCTTTCAGAAAGGATAGACTAGCCCTGCAATAAGTTGTATTGGTTTGTCTTGGGTTTTATCACCTAAATTCATATTCTTTTAATAATTCCTGCATTGGGACTTCCTGGGGTCCACACAGCTGGATTCCTGGTCTCCAATTAACTGAAGAACTGTGTTATCTGGCTGGTTCTCAATTATCTCCTAAAAATTACTCCACTGACTTGTAACTGGGAAACATGGCAAACATAAAATCCTTCTTAGCTTTGATCAAGACAAAATGCCAGTCATCTGAAACTGCATTTGACCGGGTGAATGTGAACTGGTAAACTGGGCCATAAAATTGGGGAAAAGGAAAAAAGAAAAAGTTCACTGATTAAAAAACCGTCAGAGCAACTAAGATAAAACATCTCCAGCCATGACACTAGACACCCTCTTGGAAAGATTAGCCTGTGGAAAGTGTAGTTGTATATTTCCTTAGCATGTCTCAAAACACTTCATTTCAGGATAATCAGGAGCCTATGAGAATGCCACTTTCCCTCGGAATCCACAACAACCTGGAAATGCCCTTTTCCTGGCAATTTTTTACACCTCGCCTGAGCCATTAACATGCAGCTTCATACACTTCTTGGGAGTTTGACACTGGTTGAGCTTGTTTTTCTGGTCCCCTGGAGCAAAAAACAAGGAATAGCCAATAGTAATTTTACATTTTAAAATGTCCTTTCCGCTCTTAAACTTCTCCCTACAACCACAGTGCAACACCTGAGCTCATATTTACAGGAGAAATACGAAAGCAGATTTGACACAGCTCAGCAGCCAGTGCTTCACAGTGAAACAATAAGGCCATTGGTCATGGACAGTTGACCACCAATGAGTGGACTGAGACCAGAGAACAACTTTGCACAGGCCTCAGAGCAGCCATTAAAAGGAAATGACTTGGAGCTGAGTGAGGCCCGAATCAAGTGACTTGTTAAGGCATTTTGGTCTGTCATCAGTCTCAAACGTTATAGTTCCCTGTGCCTTTTGATGCATTTTTTTTCAACTTTTATTTTCGATTCAGTGGGAACATGTGCAGGATTGTTATCTGGGTTTGTTGCGTGATGCTGAAGTTTAGAGTGCCAATGATCCCATCACCCAGGTACTAAGCATAGTACCCCATAGCTTTCTAATACTTCCTCTCATTCCCTCCCCGCTCTAGTGGTCTGCAGTGTCTACTGTTCTCATTTTTATGTCCAGGAGTACCCAGTGCTTAGCTCACGTTTATAAATGAGAACGTGCAGTATTTGGTTTTATGTTCCTGTGTTAATTCACTTATGATAATAGCCTCCAGCTTCATCCATGTTGCTGCAAAGGAGTGATTTTGTTCTTTTTCACATCTGCATGGTATTCCATGATACATATATATGCCACATTTTCTTTATCCAACCTGCCATTGAATGAGTACCTAGGTTGATTCAATGTCTTTGCTATTGTGACTAGTGCTGTGATGAATAAGCAAGTGGACATGTTTTTTTGGCAGGACAATTTTTCTTTTCAATATATACCCAGTAATGGGATTGTTTGGTCAAATAATAGTTGTTTTAAGTTCCTTGGGAAATCTCCAAATCACTTTCCATGGTGGATTAATTAATTTACATTCCTACAAATAGTGTGTATGCGAATAAGTGCTCCCTTTTCTCCCCAACCTCACCAACATCTGTTGTTTCTTGACATTTTAATAATAGCCATTCTGACTAGTGTAAGATGGTATCTTATTGTGGTTTTGATTTGCATTTCTCTGATGATTAGTGATGTTGAGCATTTTTTTATATATTTGTAAGCTGCTTGTATGTCTTCTTTTGAGAAGCCTCTGTTCATGTCTTTTGCCCATTTCTAATGGGGTCATTTATTTTTTGCTTGTTCAGTTGTTTAAGCTCCTTATAGGTTCTGGATATTAGGCCTTTGTTAGATGCATAGTTTGCAAATATTTCCTCCTATTCTGTAGGTTGTCTGTTTACCTTGTCGATAGTTTCTTTTGCTGTGCAGAAGTTCTATAATTAGGTCCCATTTGTCAATTTTTGGTTTGTTGCAATTGCAGTGCAGAAATTAATCATAAATTCTTTCCATGGCCAATGTCCAGAATGGTGCTTCTAGGTTTTCGTCTAGGATTCTTATAGTTTGAGGTCTTATATTTAAAACTTTTTTTTTAATTCTATTTTTCTTTTGTGTGGGTATGTAGTTATATTTAAATCTTTAATCCATCTTGAGTTAGTTTTTGTATATGGTGAAAGGCAGGAGTCTAGTTTCTTCCTTCTGCATACGGCTAGCCAGCTATCCCAGTACCATTTATTGAATAGGGAGTCCTTTCAATTTTTTTTGTCAGCTTATTGGTTATTGCTTATTTTTGCCAGCTTTGTGGACAATTAGGTAGCTAAAGGTTTGCAGCTTTATTTCTGGGTTCACTATTCTGTTCTGTTGGTCTATGTGTCTGTGTTTGTACCAGTATTATTCTGTTTGAGTTGCTGTAGCCTTCGTATAGTTTGAAGTCCAGTAAGTGATGCCTCTTTGTTCTTTTGCTTAAGATTGATTTTGCTATTTAGACTCTTCTTTGGTTCTGTATGAATTTTAGAATAGTTTTTTTCAATTCTCTGAAAAATGACATTGGTAGTTTGATAGGAATAGCATTAAGTCTGTAGATTGCTTTGGGCAGTATGGCCATTTTAATGATACTGATTCTTCCAATCCATGAGCATAGAATGCTTTTCCATTTGTTTGTGACCTCTATGATTTCTTTTAGGAGTGTATTGTGGTACTCCTTGTAGAGATTGACTGATAAGAATAACCTCCTTGGTTAGATGTATTCGTAGGTATTCTATTTTCTTGGGTGGCTATTGTAAATAGAATGGCATTCTTGATTTGGCTCTCAGCTTGAATGTTTTTGGTGTATAGAAATGCCACGGGTTTTTGTACATTGATTTTGTATCCTGACATTTTACTGAAGTCATTTATCAGTTCCAGGAGCATTTTGGTAGGTCTTTAGTCTTTAGGGTTTTCCAGGTATAGAATCATATCATCCACAAAGAGAGATAGTTTGACTTATTTTTTCTATTTATGTGCCTTTTATTTCTTTTCTCTTGCCTGATTGCTCTGGCTAGCACTTCCAGTACTCTGTTGAATAGGAGTGATGACAGTGGTCATCCTTGTCTTGTTCCAGTTCTCAAGAGGAATGTTTTCAGTTTTTGCCCCCTCATTACAATGTTGGCTGTGGTTTGTAGTAGATGGCTCTTATTATTTTGAGGTATGTTCCTTTGATGACTCATCTGTTGAGGGTTTTCATTATGAAGGGATGTTGGATTTTATTGAAATCTCTTTTGGCATCTATGGAGATGATCACATGGGTTTTGGTTTTTAATTTTGTTTATGTGGTGAATCAAATTTATTCATCTGTGTATGTTGAACCAATATTGCATCCTAGAAATGAAGTCTACTTGATCATGGTGAATTAACTCTTTTATCTGCTATTGAATTTGGTTTGCTAGTATTTTGAGGATTTTTGTGTCTCTGTTCATTAGAAATATTGGCCTGTAGTTTTCTTTTTCATTGTGTGTTTGTCAGATATTGATATCAGAGTGATCCTGGCTTTATAGAATGAGTTAGGGAGGAATACCTTCTCCTTGGGTTTTTGGAATAGTTTCACTAGAATTGGTACTAGCTCTCCTTTGTATGTCTGGTAGAATTTGACTATGAATCCAACTGCTTCAGGGATTTTTTTGGTTGGTAGGTTTTTTTATTACAATTCCATTTCAGAAATCAGTGTTGGTCTGTTCAGTGTTTTAATTTCTTCCTGATTCAATCTTAGGAGACTATATTTTCAGAAATTTATCTATTTCCTCTAGATTTGCATAGAGGTACTCATAATACTCTCTGAGAAACTTTTGTATTCTGTGGGATTGGTTGTAATGCCACCTTTGTCATTTCTAATTGTGCTTATTTTGATCTCTCTTTTTTTCTTTGTTAATATATCTAGTGGTCTATCAATCTTGTTTACCTTTTCAAAGAACAGATTTTGGTTTTTTTGATTCTTTGTATAAATTTTGGGTCTCAGTTTCATTCAGTTCTGCTCTGATTTTAGTTATTTCCTTTCTTCTGCTAGCTTTCAGGTCAATTTGTTCTTGTTTTTCTAGTTCCTCTAGGTGTGATGTTAGATCATTAATTTGATATATTTCAAACTTTTTGATATAAACATTTAGCACCATAAATTTCCTCTTAACACTACTTTGCTGCATCACAGAGATTTTTGCTATGTCTATATTTGTTTTCATTTATTTCAAAGAATTTCCTTATTTCTGCCTTAATTTTGTTGTTGTTTATGCAAAAGTTATTCAGGAGCAAGTTGTTTAATTTCCATGTATGGTTTTGAGAGATCTTCTTGGTATTGAATTCTACTTTTATTCCACTGTGTTCTGAGAGTATGGTTTGTATGATTGCAATTCTTTTGAATTTATTGAGACTTGCTTTATGGCTGAGCATGTGGTCAATCTTGAAGTATGTCCTGTGTGCAGGTAAAAAGAATGTATATTCTGTGGGCAATGAGGGGAGTATTCTGTAGATTTCTATTAGGTCCAATTAATCAAGTGTTGAGTTTAAATCCTTTAGATGGTTTCTGATTAGTGCTACCTGTCCACAGAGCAAAAAACAAATATATTATTTGTATAGCGCTACATCAAAGTATAACAGTCATGTAGGTATAATTCCTACAGCAGCACACCTAGGAAACTTTCGGAGAAAAAAGTCATTATTGTGTGTTCATGGCATACCTTTCTTTCCTACAGGCTTTTTAAAAAGTGGTCTTTGCTCATTTAGCTCTGGTCTCTATACCTGTATCATGCAGATCAGGGAAATGGAAAGAGAACTGGAGAGCAGAAGGAATGGAAGAGACAGGAAACAAGAGAAGAAAGGCAGTGGATATGGGAGAGTTTTTGTTTCTTGGGGTTTGGAGCTGCTTGCTGGTTGGGAATTAAGGGTGTGGGAGAGAGATATAGGGAAGGACAGCTCATTTCTGTAAAGACCACCCTAAGAGTGGATGAAATGGACAAGATTTTGAAAATAATTTTATCTAAATTAAGGATGTATTTCCTTCTCTCCTTTTGTGGTTTCTCCAGACACAAGTTAAAAATAAAATTGGTATTAGTCATATTTTTCTATTGAACAATGATTTTTTTGAAACACCTTGAGATTGGGTCCAAGTTATAATCAAGTTATAATCAAGCCCTCGAAACCAGTAGTGGCAAAAGGAAGCTCTGATAGCATCCTATAGTCATGGCTGATTCAGGTCCTATTCAGCAGAGACTAATTTTGCCAATATTGACCATTCTTACCAACTGGTAAGAATGATACCTACATGACTATTATCCATTAACATACTTGAATGATAAAAGTATTCCAGACTAGCATCAGCCATATCATTATACTAATAAAAATGTTCAATCGATCAGACGTCTACCTTTGAGTAAACAAAAGACCTAGATGATTAACTAGAATTTTCATTTTATCTCAATACTTGCTGTCAGGAAGATATGGTCATTGACTCCTTCAAGTGTCAAAATTCTAGTAGGTTTGGTACTAGGCAGGCCGGTATGTCAGTAGAAAATAAACTAAGAATAAGGAGACAAAGGTAAATGGTGGTGATGGGGCTCAGAATATGCTACCCCAAAATAAGGCACCTTGGCATTTGAACAAACTGCAAAAGCAGGAAGGTCACACTCAACTTCCCCTCACTTTCATCCCCTGAAGCAGGTCAAAAGACCCTCATTTCAGAGATGCTCTCCCCATACCCAGAAGAAAAGAACATCTTTATCTTTGAAGACACGAGGACAGAGAGCAATCCGAACAAAACAGGCGCTGCTAAGCTTCCCCAGTTTATTATCATTAGATCATACCCTCTTTGTCCAATCACTCTTTTTCACACTGCCCACTCTTCATCAAACCTAAGCATAAAAATATACAGGTTTCCCTCCTTCTTTGGGTCTTCATTTCTTTGTGAAGTCTCCCATACCACATAAAACTCGTGTTGAATAGTTTATCTGCTTTTCTCTTATTAATCTGTCTTTTGCCAGAAGGGCCTCAGCTGTGAACCTAGCAATGGGAAAGAAATATTTTCCCCCTATACTAGAATGAGTCCTTTGGGGAAAGAATGACCCATAATCCAAACCGCAGTGCAAAAGAAGCACTGTGAGCTCAGAGTCAGGGTTGCAGCTAGAGTATTTGAGGCCTTGAGTGAACTCTTTTCAACACTCTCCATAGAAAACAATTATTTTTAGTAATAATCATGAATTAAGCTTAATAATAATGGTCAAAAAAACACACTGAAAATTTTATTTTATTGGACTGCCTATGTATAATCAGCCTGTTAAAATAATAATATAATAAAATACATATTCAAATATATAAAAGGAAAAAATGTATTAATACTGTCTAATTTACATTCATGTATTTTTTGAAAGAAAAAGACTCACACATACATATTGGTCTCTTATAGTAATGAATCTAGCAGTTCACATTGCCTGTTTAAAATTCTAAAGCCACATAAAAACTCAAAATGATCATGTTTTTCATGTCACTGTTCTATCACTTTTATTTTTAACCCACTGGTTAAATGCAGGAATATCTGCTCCCACAGGAAGAGAGAGACAAACTTGCACCCTAGCTGAGCTCAGATGATTCTGAATCATTACAAACATGGGTCTGAGTCTGCCTCTGTTGGTGGCCAATCGTATAACTAGGAGTCCTTAGGATTAAATTCCATGAGAAGCACAATGTGTATTAAAGGACAATAATAAAAACGTGCCCCCTTGAAGCTTACGTATAAGCTTATTGTAATTATTAAAAGTCAGTTGTTTAGAACTTAGGCCAAGAATAGATTTTGGCAGAGCGTGGGAGTATTTTGTCACTGACATTCTTTAGGATGGTCAGCTCGTGGTAATAACAAAAGACAGACCAAACTTATTTCCTTTTATTATTGTTTTTTAAATGTCTACAGACAGCATGCTCCCTTGTTTTCTGCACCTTCCCCTTTTCCCCCTGCCCTTAAAATGCAATTGTCCAACCTCTTTTCTGGGTAAAGTTTGTCTGTTTTGATAAAGAGGGCACAGTAGTAGAAATCTCTTACATCGAGTGAAATGCAGTAGAATCAGAAACTAGATGGACACAATGGGAGTTGGAACGTCTGTAGCTCACTGGGCACTTCACACTGACTCCACACCTTACCTGCTCATAAGAATTTGGTGGTTAGGCTGGCACAGTGGTTCATGCCTGTAATCCCAGCACTTTGGGAAGCCGAGGCAGGTGGATCACCTGAGGTCGGGAGTTCGAGACCAGTCTGGCCAATATGGTGAGACCTCATCTCTACTAAAATACAAAAATTAGCCATGCGTGGTTGCGGGTGCCTGCAATCCCAGCTACTCGGGAGGCTGAAGCATGAGAATCGCTTGAACCTGGGAGGTGGAGGTTGCAGTGAGCTGAGATCACACCACTGCACTCCAATCTGGGCAACAAAGCAAGACTCTGTCTCAAAAAAAGAGAAAAAAAAAGATTTAGTTGTTTAATTTTCTGCCAAGTTTGTTCCTGATGGTTCAGGACCAATTGCGTAGGCCAAAATCCAGAGACAGTTCTTTGATCTCTGCAGTGGAGTGGGGCGGTGGCAGGCAGGTGCCAGCTTGAAGGGGCCCTTCAGGAAGTGTTTTATCAACACCAGATAATGATTGGAAGCCTGTCAGAGCTCCTCTAATCAAACATGTTCACATTATTATTCCCAAACCATAATTCTTTACAAAGTGAGTATTAATTTTGAAAAGTCCTCATCTCTTTTTCACTAAATAATAGAAGTAAAATGGTTAAATAAAAAGGTGCTATGGCAATCATTTCTTTTGCTACCTTTGTTTGGGTTTCTGATGTGGCCACTTTTGTAAAATGTTCACAGCCACGTGCCGTGGCTCACACCTATAATCCCAGCATTTTGGAAGGCTGAGGAAGGCAGATCAGTTGAGGTTAGGAGTTCAAGTCCAGCCTGGGCAACACAGCAAAACTCTGCCTCTACTAAAAATAAAAAAATTAGCCAGGCATGGTGGAACATGCCTGCAATCCCAGTTAGTTGGGGAGGGGAGCCTGAGGCAGGAGAATCACTTAAACCCAGGAGGCGGAGGTTGCAGTGAGTCGAGATCTGGCCACTGCACTGCAGCACGGGTGACAGAGTGAGACTCCATCTCAGGGGGAAAAAAAGAAGAAGAAGAAAAACGTTCACAAACTTCCCAAGTTATTGTGTAACTATAGTGCTTC